AACCCACAAACAAACAAAAAACCAAAACCATGGAATATCCAACTAATTTCATTTTAACATTTCTTCACTTGGTTATATTTCCAGACAGAAAGACCCAGTAGGAGCATATTTAATCTGAGGAGCATCTTGTGATGATTTATGATAATTGATATTTAATGGCATAATTTTAGACTGGTGTAGTTAGCTTTGAAACACAAGAGATTTGAAAAATCTTGCAGTGGAGTTTCTCTGTATATGAAGAAAACTGCCTTCTTGTGAAGCCAGAAAAGCCTGGAGTCTCTAAAAAACATTTAGCCACAGTCGTCTTCAAAGTGGATAAACAGATACCCTTAAGAGACCACATTTTAGTAATCTTTCCTCATTGCAATGGACTGACGGGGAGAAAGGGTGGGGGGAAAAAAGAACAAAAAAGTGGCAGACGTACGGCTGTGGGATCTGGAAAGCAAGTGTGGGCACCAGGGCTGGAGAGGAGACCCGGGGAAGGGAGTGAGCACATCTGAGCACAGAAACAGGGAGGGCATAAGAAACCTAAGTTGTGTAAGGGGGTGAGGGTTAAGGGTGAGTTCATACGCACATCCCAGCATGGGAACCGTAACGCTGAGTAAGTCTCACCATCACAGAAACCTGAGAAGTAAATGAAGCTGGGAACGCTGAAATTGGATTTTTAACTTTTTTCTCCCTTACAGCAAGGGAAATCAGTAAATCAGAAGCTACAGGTACTGCAAGCCTGGAAGGCCATTCCACTTAGCAGAAAAACACCTCCTGAGCAGGAGCTTCTCTGTGTTCTACGGCACTTGGTGAGACCCTCTCACCGCTGCCTTTCTTGTTAGAGGTCCACCCTGGACTCATTAGCTTAATTGTGTGTAAGATTTTGTCCTACCGTTACCTGTACGTCATGACATTTCTGATCCATTTCTTTTACTCTAATATATTCCTTTCATTAAAACTCTTTATTCCTGTATTCAGCTGCTTGTTTCTCAAACCCCAGCATCCTAGGCAGGTAACAACATCCAAAAAGCATCATTAACCCCTCCTGCCTTTGTTTCTCCAAAATTCAGTTACATAACAACATCCTCAGACACACTATGGCTGTGCTTTTTTAGCAATCATTTCCTTGCTCTCTCCAAGAATTACAGTTTTAACTTTACAAAAAAAAAATCCCAACACCCAAACCCAAGCCAGCCTAGCAGCTGAGTCCTCACAGGTTTCGTTGTTTCAGTGGAGACAGCTGAATCTGAGTCATTTGGCTCATTTTCCCTCTCTTCACTCCCATCTAGGCAAGGAAGACCAAGCATTTCTCCTCTTCTCCTCTCACACATCCGCACGCAAGCAGAGCCTGGCACGCATGCCAGCGCCTGGCTGGGGACATCCCAGATGACCACGCAGCATCCAGGCTGACTTTGCCCCTGAATACATTCCCTCTCTCCCACTTCGACTGATGAGTGTTCCTCCCTAAGCACGCGTGCGTGCACGCACGATAGTGCAAGATAGCACACAGCTGATTTAATTTGCCTTTGTTTCCCTGAATTTTCCAAATTCATATCTAAATCCAGCAAAGCGATGCCTAGCGTTGTCAGCACCCGTCTCCTGCCCCAGCATCTCCCCTGGAGCTGCCTGCCCGCGGACCGCCCCAGGGGGACCTGCGGGCCAACGTGCCAACCCCCCGAGGCAGGAGGTGATGTTTCCTAGCTCACCGCCTTCCCCTCGAGGAGCATGAACTCCCCACCACATACGGAAAGAAATAACGAATGCTACGCCTACAAATACATACCCAACCGCACTTCAAATTATCTTGGGTTTTTAAGAATCCCCTGCTACCTTGATAATTATTTCTCTTTCACACTGTTTTAAAATATAGCTTAGAGTTCAGTAACCACATCTTTCAGTGCTGACTAAGAGCCAGCTTGAGGCATATTTTTCTGCTGTGCAGATCTGTAACTGCTCCGGGTCTGGAATAGCTGCCAGAAGGGTTTGCTCCTTTCTTCAGGAAAGATGAGTTTACCGTATTCTTTTGCTCCTTATTTTCCCCTACTGCATGTAAAGATCACCTCGATCTTTTGTATTGCATAATGACAAGCCTTTCCCTTCTCACCAGCCTCTAACAAGGATGGTTATTTAAAACACTTTTAAGTATATCCCTTTGATTTGTACATTACTATTCACTAGGCAGAAAAAAAAATAGGACAAAAAAGAGGATTTGCTCTAATACGGTCTCATCTTCTTGTTTATTTCTTATTATTTCCACCCTGTGTAACTATGTAGGTCAAACAGATCAAATGAATTTCAGTGCATCTGTTCTAACACCAGTACCATGTAGGTTAAAAGGCACTGATGCTGGTCTCTCTGAATGGGAGTATGACTGCGTTAGCTCCCTGAACTGGAGAAAGTTTGACCCATTTATTAAACTTCAGTTTTACTGGCAACATTTCACAATCTACTTATAACTGCATACCTGTTCTCATCAAAATTCTCTTGATGCTCCTAATTCCAGGCCTCCTCCACCCTCAGACAATGCAGAAGACAGATGACAACAGCAGGGTGTGAAAAACAGTTGACATAGACAAGGAGGTGGCAACACGCACTGGTTTGGCATCACTGTGGCTGCAGCTATTACAGTCCAGACTGGAAATCTGTCCTTTCTGTGTGGAACTGATTTGCAACAGTATTTAGATAATTTACTGCTAAAGGCAACATAATTGCTTTCTTATAGAATCACAGAATCATTTAGGTTGAAAAAGACCTTTAAGATCATTGAGTCCAACCGTACACCTAACACTGCCAACTCCACCACTAAATCATGTCCCTAAGTGCCCCATCTACACGTCTTCTAAATACCTCCAGGGTATTTCTTAGGGTAGTCTAGCCAAAAATTTGGCTGGCAGAAATGCATAGAAGCCAGGGCATTCCACGGTCGCCTGCCATCTTTGAAAGTTGCCAACTCAACACAAACCCAACCCAT